GTCTGTAAAATGAATATTCTATCTGCAACTAGCCATAATTTTATAACTTTAAACCACTGTTTCTAAATAAGAAACTGCCTCCTATCTATGTTTTATGCTGGCAGGAAGATTTTGAACTACAAAGAAAACCTTATAAGTATTTTCTGACCATTGAATTGTATAATTTCATAATTCAATAACTCCCTTTGTATTCTACATGACTTGACATATTCAGGAAGAGAAGAAAGATTTTTATTATTATATTAAAATTAAGAAGTAGACACAGAAACTGTTTTCTGGAACAAATAATAATAAAATTGAGTCAATACCAAGTTATTCATTTTAATAACTGTTTAGGGCAATAGCATTTATAATTCTTTGTTAGTTTATAAGAATAATTTTCTTTTTAAAATTTGATCTACTACTTGAAGCGAAAAAAGAAAAAGAATAACATGGTTCTAAAGAGTTTCCAAGACTACATAATGTAAACACCAAAAAATGTGCAAATTATTTAAAATATTAATTTACATACAAATAATACATAGAAAGGTGTAAATCACAGGAATCCAGTTTGTTTCATTAACAAATACACAAAAATGAAATTTCAAAAACTCTAATTACACCAAAGATAAAAAATATAAAATACTTGAGGACGAATTCATATGAAAAACATTGGCACTGAAAACTATAAAACTTAAAGAATAAAACAACATAAAGAATAAAAAATATACAAATATAGGATGCCCCTGGACTAAAAAAAATCAACATTTTGAAAAATTTTATTTTCCCCCAGATTGACCTATAAATTGAATTAAATCCCATTTAATATTCCAACCAGCTTTTTTTTGTAGAGAGATTTGACAAGTTGATTCTAAAATGTATACAAAGATGCAAAGGATTTCAAACAATCCCAACAAAATGAACATGCACTACCTCATTTCAAGACTCTGGTAGTACCAAAATAATCAGTGCAGTGTGGTAGTGGTATACGAGACAAAGAGCCATGGAGACAAATAAGTTTTCCAGAAATAGACTCGCACACAATCAATAGATTTTAAATAAGTGATTCAAAGCAATTCAATGAATAAAAGTAAACATTTTCAACAAATTTTCTCTAACAATAGTGCAAATGAACAGAAGCAAAATGAGTTTCAATACCCTACTTCACACCACACACAAAAATTGAGATAGTTAAAACTATGACACTTGTGGAAGAAAACACACAAAATTGTTTTGCATAATGGATATATATATCAATTATTATAAAATACAGAAACAAATTATTTAGACTTACCTGCTTTCCAATTGTTTACTCATCAAAAGATTTAATTATGAAAATGAGTGTCAAATTAGGAGAAAATATTCACAAAGGATATATGTACTTAAGGACATGTTTTCTACTACTCATTAATACAAAGATCAACAACCAAATTTTTAAAATATATATAAAAGACATACAAAGGAAGACACAGAAATGATCAATAAACATGTGAAAAAAGTTTTTGACATTATTAATGACTAATGAAAGGTAAACTAAAACCACCTTTTTAAACTAACTAAAAATAAAATCAAATACAAAAACAAAAGACAGAAGAAAATGTTAGTGAGGCTTAAGAATTCTTATGTTATTTTTGGGAATGCAAACAAACACAGTTACTTTGGATTTGAGTAGTTTCTTATGGTTAAAAATATACAACTCAGGATCCATAAATTCTACTCCTACATATTTACCAAGAGAAGTGAAACATGTGTTGACCAAAATAGAAATGAAAGAGTTGAACATAAATATTCATGGAAGCTGTATTCAAACTAGCACCAAAACAATCCAAAGTCATTAAGAGGTGAATGGATAAATTGTGGGATTCCTGTTAGTAAAATACTACTCAGTAATACAAAGACTTTGCCCTAAACAATATGCAAAAGAAGCTAGAAACATATACAAAAATATATGCTTCTTGATTCCATTTATATGAAATTTCAGAACAAACTAATTGTTTGTGAAAAAAAAAATCAGAAAGTGATCCCCTGGATCAGAGGATTGGGGTTGATTGGAAAAGGTAACATTGAATCTTTCCCATGATATAAAAGTTACATATCTTAATATGTTTGTCAGTCCCACCAATATTTGCATTGTCAAAACTCATAAAACTATATCACTTAACATTTTTATTGTATTAAAGCATTTATAAAACAGATCCATAAAAATTTATAAAATATTCAATTGGGATCATTTTAGAAGTAAAAATGATTGCCATGTTAGAGCTATAGAATTTTAAGTCAGTTTTATTAACTATTTTTTTTTCATTTTTGGTTTCTCTTTTTTTTTAACTAATTATTGAACACCTACTAGGAGTCTGGCACTGTTGGAGGTGTTTTGAGCACTGATATCAATGAACAAAATAAACATAGATGTCTTCTTCAAGTTGCCGGCAATCTACTTGGAGAGCAGGGAGGAAGACAGAAAAACAGCATAAATAAGTAAATAATAGTGTTTAAAAACATGAGATTTGCTAGGGGAGAAAGAAAGAAAACGTCTAGCCTGCCACCACTCTGACATATCATGCTCTGGCTGCCTGATGACATTTTTTTGAAGGTTCTGGATATGCCTATCTTTACTGATTAACATTTTTGCCTTTATTAATGACAAATGATTCTAATGCTTTAGAATCATTCTAGAAATAAGTGTGCAGGTATGTGTGTGCGTTTTCAGAAGTGCCGGGTTGCCATAGTTGCTTCATTCCTCAAGCTTTTGCAATATTTAATACTTGAATAAATATGTATCAGAATGTCACCCTTGGTGGGTAAAAAGGGTTGGATTCAAGGACATTGTGTTCAATGCTAATCACATTCCATGTGCTACTGAGTCATAGTCACATTGAGTTATCAAGTCAAAGAGCAGCCTTTTTGTCTTCTGTATGAAAGACAAGCTGCTCAAATGTTACAGAATTCAGATGCCCAAGTCATTAAGATGTGGTGGTACATAAAAGATGCAGCATAGATAATTCAAAATAGACAGGAAGAATGTGCTCTAGGAATAATTCTTCTTCAAGTCATAATATCTGGCACAAAACATAAATAAAGCCCTATTTTTCTCCTTCAATGCCCTGCCGTGAAGGAGTCACTGAGCCAACTTGTTATCTGCCAGTAACAGCTGAGTTGGGGGTAGGCCTTCAGCTAGAGAGAGACTTGTCTTATATTTTTTAACAAGACATAGACTGAAAACATAAGAAATCCCCAACAAAAAGCTAAAATGCCACAACTCAAAACCTCCACAATGAGATTATCTGACGTAGTGAAATATTAAACCCCATGTCATTTTTCTATAGCTAGAATGCAAACACAAAAATTACTTTTAAAGTTTACTCTTAGTTATTATTTTAATCATTTATCTTGGGGAAAAAATTTCTTTAACTAAATTCTATAGGTGCACTCACAGACCCCTATTCTCAAATCTATATAGTAATAAAGGATT